TGACCTGCTGGGACTGTCCCATGGAGGGCGCTAACCCCGCCCCGACAGAGCAGATCAGGAGTTGTTCCTCATGGGTGTGGTGCTGGGCTTTCTCCCAGCGGGGAGGGGGGTGCTCTGGCCCAATGCTGCCCCCTCCCCATGGCAGGCATTTCTACCTAGACCCCTCAGGCGCGCGGCCGGGCACACGTGTGACCAGCTCTGGGCACATGCCATCTCCAGGCTGGCCGACAGCAATCGGCAGAACAGCCAAGGGGCCCCCTGGAAAGGGATGGCTGAGGTATTTGGGCGGTGCTGCCGGCTGCGCTTCTGGGCATGCGCTTCCGGCTCGGCCACGGCGTCCACGTGCCCACCCGGCTGCCTTCGCCACAGCCAGTACCACCCGGTGCGTGCCTGGGAGCCCTGCGGCTCACCCACGCGATTTAAAAGGGCCCAGGGCCATGGTCGGTGGGTATCAAAGGCAGGGGGAGGACGTACCTCCCCAACAGCCTTGCGTGGCCCTGCCCACACTCAATCCCCTTCCTGCTTCCTGGGCTGTGGTGCTGGGGGCTCTTCGCCCCGTGGCCGGGGCCCCAAGCTGGGGGGCTAAGGGGGACCGGCCTGTGCTCCGGGGATGGGGGTGGGGCGCGGACAAACGCAGGGCCCAGCACTTCCTCCTAGTGCCGGGCGCCTTCGTTCCAGCCGCTCCTTACCCGCCCCGGCTGGCTCCGCGCAGTCCTCACACTCCCACGGGCCCCTGGTGGCCCCCAGCGAGGAGCAGCGGCGGTGGGTCCCCTGGGAGCCACACGAGTGGCACAGCAGCAGCTCCCACGGGCTGCGAAAGCAAAGAGGTCGGTGTCGGCATCTCCCAGCTGGAGGCCCAGATCCGCCGAGGGTCCCCAGGCTCCTAACTCCCTTGGGTTTCCGTGGCTGTTAGGAGCCTAAATACATCTGAGGATCTGGGCTGCAGCCCCGACTCCTCCCTGCAATGAGATGGCGGAGACCAGAACAAAGGCACCCGCCTCCCTTCGCGCCCGCGGGCCGGCACACCCCATCCGCCAATCGCCAGCCGTTGCTGTGTGACAACAGCTGCGCGGCCAATGGCCAGCAAGGGGCGGGACCTAGACTGAATCCAACCCCACCCCCTCCCCAGCGCAGCAGGGACAATGCGTCTGCGGCAAAGCCCTGGGAAGTTAACTGCCTACCCGGCTTCTGCGGATTGCTCTCTGCCGCCCACGTACAGGCAGCAGCCGGCGTCACAGCGGCTGTGTCTGTGATACTGGTCGCTGAACGCGCCGTCTTCCTCCCAGGCGGCGTCCCTGAGGGAGCAATGGGGGGAATTAGCGTTCCTCTAGCAGGCATCCACAGGGTGCTAGCACTGCAAATGCTGGGTACCAGGCTGTAAGCTCCCTGGGGCAAGGACTGTTTCTTTCATCTGTGTTTGTACAGCACCTCGCGTAACGGAGTAATGGCCAGGTGCCAGCTCATGCCAGGTCCCCGTGTCCCAGCCGGGCACTGACAGTTACAGAGCTGGAATCTGTCTGGCTCACTTGTGGGTTAATATTGATAAAATAGGTATAAGAACAGCCATAGTGGGTCAGACCAAAGGTCCATCTAGCCCAGTATCCTGTCTTGCAACAGTGGCCAGTGCCAGGTGCCCCAGAGGGAATGAACAGAACAGGTAACCATCAAGCGATCCATCCCCTGTCACCCATTCCTAGCTTCTGGCAAACAGAGCCTAGGGACACCATCTCTGCCCATCCTAGCTAATAGCCATTGATGGACCTATCCTCCAGGAATTTATCTAGTTAGAATTATAAGAAAGTGGTTAGTGTTTGGAGTCTATCGGATGCTTTTGCATTGCTGCCTGCATTGATCTGACTTGTGATATCTGCGTTCCACGTTGCAATGTAACATTTGAGCGGGTGTCTGTGAGTGTCTGAATCGCTAGACAGGAGAGGGATACTAATTAGCGTGGAGAACTGCTCTTCTACAGAAATTGTTACACGTCTCCCAAAAGAGGAGACCCATCGATCCCAGATGGGCTCTGGGTGGATCTTACAACACCCCACAGCTGGGTTGAGAAACCCTCAACAAAAGGACTCTAAGGATATCCTAAGAGGTTTTTAAGGCCCGGCTTGACAAAGCCCTGGCTGGGATGATTTAGTTGGGAATTGGTCCTGCTTTGAGCAGGGGGTTGGACTAGATGACCTCCTGAGGTCTCTTCCAACCCTAATCTTCTTTGATTCTATGATTGAAGACTCTTGTTTGTTCTGCTCTCCTCCCCATGAAGTTGAGCCATGGAGGTGGACTCCTATCAGCTGAGTTTGCAGCTCACAGCACATGGCTGGAGGGAGATAAAACCCCAAACCAACGGAAGTAGGATCTCTATGTTGCCGGGACTCTGGGGGGTGGGGCAAGGGGCTTCTAAGCATTAGCAAGAGATCCCAGCTGCTTGGCCTGGGCTAGCCCTCAAGGACAAATAGAGCTTGCTCATTATTAGGGTGACCAGACGTCCCGATTTTATCGGGACTGTCCCGATATTTGTTTCTTTGTCCTGCGTCCCGACCAATGTTTGGTCAGGACACTGGACAAAGAAGAAATTTTGCCTTCCGCTCTGGCGCTCGGGCCCCCCGCCCGCCCCGGCTCCGCCCTCTCCTTCCCCCCATTGGCTCCCTCCCCAAATCCCCGCCCTGGCCCCGCCTCTTCCCCAACCACGCAGCATTCCTCCTCCCTCCCAGGCTTGCAGCATGGTGGCACAAGCCTGGAGGGAGGGGGTGGCGGCGGTGCCTCG